CGCTATCGCTTTCAAATAGGTAAGTTCTTTCACAAACCATGCAAATTACCTTCAGAGCTCTACTTGATTTGCATGGTTTGTGTAAGAACTTATCTACTTGAAAGTGAAATAGAGACATCTATTCTGTAGCTCAGCAGTCCTTAATTCAGAACAATAGCAGTCCATGTGCATAACTAGAGCACATGCTCTCTAGGGCCAGGGTAGGGAAGCAGAGGAAAGATTCCTGCAGCCCATGGTATGTCTTCTGTGGCTCTCTGGGAGGGATGCTAGTTGGAATCTAACTCCTTTCCAGGATATGGTGAAGGATGTTCGTGACCCTTAACCATTCCACCACGGTGGAGGAGAAAGAAGGGTTACTTTTCGAGCACTGATGGGTGACTGATGGTTTGCCATTGACTCCATAGCTCCTTGGCTATGGAATCTTATTAGAGAAGGAATTACATAATGTTTTTCTTGCCCATGACTAAGAAGTTTTTCTCGTAGAGTGATCTGTTCCAGATCCTCACAGACTAACAACCCACACTCAGTTCAGGAGAATGTCACTTACCAGCTGCCATAGCCAGATATCAGCATTCTTCTTGCTTTCTTCACTTACTCCTGGTCCATAAACTACAACCTGAAACATAAAATAAGGAAAAGGCTGTGGATTTTATCCCAGTGACTGATGTATATGTGAATCTTCCTACAGTATGCAACACATGCTATTTTTAGGGAAAGTGTTTGTAGAATGTGACATTATTTTACGTACACTGTTGGAATTCACATTACATTTGTTAATCCCTTAAAGATACCTACTGATAAAAGGGGAACTGAACACACCTGCCACTCCTTATGCTCCTTCATATCCTCACTCATCTATTTCATTTGCTTCCTCTTTCTCTCAGTTTTGTACTTTTATTCTTGCTACCTCCTACTCTTGGAACAAACATCATCTTTTCCTGCACCATGGGGACTGATCCAAAGCCTGTTGAAATTACTAAGATTTTTCCCATTGACTTCAAAGGGCTGCAGATCAGGCCCCATGGCCGTGTCCACACTCAGGGGTTCTTTCGAAAAAAGTACCCTTTTTTCGAAAGAACTTCCCCTGCATCCAGACTCAAGCCGCGTTCTTTCGAAATTATTTCGAAAGAACGCGGCTTTTCTTTCGATGGCGGTAAACCTCGTTTCACGAGGAAGAACGCCTTCTTTCGAAAGTTCCTCTTTCGAAGGAAGGCGTTCTTCAATGTAAAGAGGCCGTCTTCGAAAGAGAGCAGCCAGACTCACTGGGTGCTCTCTTTCGAAAAAGCGGATTTCCTCTATCGAAAGATCCGCCTGCAGTCTAGACGCGATCTTTCGAAAGAGGCTCTTTCGAAAGATGCTTTCGAAAGAGCCTCTTTCGAAAGAAGCCTGCAGTCTAGACACAGCCCATGTGTCCTCCTTTTCCTCCTTCAAAGCCTTATTATTCTTCTAATCTGCAACGAGCTCTCTGACATCACTTCCAGGCTACTGCCTTGGGACTGTCTCTAAGTGTGATCCTAAGTAATCCAGGGTAGCTATGTTACTTTTTACATATTTGTAAATTAATGTGTATGTTGAACAGTCATCAGATGCTAACAACTTTACTTTCAGTTGGGACTGGATTTGAAATGGTGATCTAGACATGAAAGGCTCTTCCACTGCTGATCCTTTGAATCAATCAGTCCCTTATCAGACTTGTTCTTTGATTAAAGAAGGAAATCCCAAATCAAAGTTGACCTCAGTGCCAAGAATGTTATTTGAAATTAAAGGGGTATAATGAACATGGGGGTGATTATTAAGAGAAACATGGAAATGGTTGCCTAATTCCCAATGATGTCCAATGGGAGTTGGTGCCTGACTGCTATTTGTAGCTTTGAACATTTTCCCAGGTGTCTTGAAGAAAATGAAAGCTCCTACCTCTGTCTCAAAATTGTCTGCAAACATGGCCAAGGATTTCTTCTGATTTATTTCTCCACGATGATCATTTAGCCAGGTTTGGAAGGAAAAGGGATCCATGACTTCAATGGTATTTAGTGGAAAAGGGGTGTTTTTCAGGAGATCAGCTGCAAACAAAACAGAATGTTAATCGTAGTGAAACTCGTTTCCACTTGATATCTGATCTTTGATCTTTGCTAATAATTCTAGATGTCTAAGCCAGCTGTAAACACGAATGTTAGCTAATCAGGATGCCAATGACAAGCAATGTGTGCTGTTATAGAATTTAAATTTTGTATTTGATGTTATGGATCATATGCATGTTTTTGTGCTCTGATGGAATGGAACTTTCCATAAGAGGACTGGTGAATTGCCTTCCCCATATGCTTTAGACGGATAGCCAGACCAAGCAAAACAAGAGACACATAGGCCTTATTCAAATCAGGGCTTGTAGCCTTCTTTCAAACTCTCTTTGAAAGTGTTTTGCTTGAACACGACATGGTTTTACAACTATATTCAGAAATCATGTTCTAGTTATAGCAGGGTGCAAACCTTGGTGCACAGTCTCCTCTAGCAGGTTACTCATTTCCTTCCACACTGATACCCAAAACTGGTAAAATCATGTTGATGGGCTGATTCTCATTGCTATGACTTGAGTGGAATGACTTCTTCTTTACCTCTGTGTAAATAAGGTCTATTTTTCACATACTCAGCAATGACAATTTCTTAATTTCCTCTCCACCATGTCTTCTAAGGTATTATGAAAGTTTCATTGATTAGAGTGAAACAAATCAGTTACCACAGTCTTAAATTTAATAAAGAATCTTTCTCATGATGTTCATGCAGTTGTATTTGGAATTAATTTCCAGTAATTATCCTTCATAACTGGTCTATTTTAAAATAGCTAGAGGGCTAAATGAAGCTTTGGTTTTGCTAATGAGGTTCAAGGTTTGTGTCTTGTGTTGCTGTTATTTGAAATTAACTTCAATCATCCAAAATTATTTGAGGGATGGAAAACAACTTGGTGTACAGCAAAACTTAAAAAGCTCAATCCATTTGTGTTATAAATGCAAAGATTGCACTTGATCATGATGTAGAAGTACCTTCCAGGGGAGATAATAGCAGGTAATAAAGGATTCTTTAACCAGCACATTCAAATTAGAAATAAGGCACACAATTTTTAACGGTGAAGGTGAATAACTATTGGTACAAACCACCAAGGGAATTGGTGGGTTCTCCATCTCTTGATGTCTTCAAATCAAGATTAGCTGCCTTCCTAGAAGATATGTTTTAGTCAAACACAAGTTATTGGGCTAAATACAGGTGTAACTGGGTGAAATTCAATGGCCTGTGCATTGTAGGATGTCAGACAAGATGATCTAATAATTTTGTCTACCCTTCAAATCTATGACTCCATCAACCCCCAGAAAAGCGCAGAGATAATAAGTGCAGAGTGTGCTAGGTAGAATGTTCTGAGAAGGGATGGAGAATGCCGCTGAGGTACTTTTTCAAATGATAATCTCAAGTAGATGCAGGACAAAAGTTAGTCAAAGGCATCAAGATAATGAACACACAACTGAGTCTTAGTCCCAGCACAGATAATATTGTGAGTTTTAGAAATGCAGTTTTATTTTACTGATTATATGAAGTTATCCTTCTTCTTTTCTAGAAGTCACAAACCTCAGTTAACATACTATTGCACCATGGTATCTTGAGTATAAATTGCCACATTTTTTCCCCAATGGGCCATTTTGAATATGATCCTTGTACAGCGTTTTTTATAGGAAAGGTCAGTGGATGAAATGTAATGCATTGTGTTAAAGAAACTATCACAATTTAATTGATTAAGAAATGCACAAAGTATTTGCAGCCATATTCATCCTCAAGAAAATGTGAACAAAATAAAACACTTATCAGCAGCTTTTGATACAGAAACAGCTTCTGTCATATAAATTAAAATCTCTATTACATTGATGACTGTTACAGTAAGCAGGTTACAAAGCTCAATTTGTAAAAAAAAAACATTTTTTTGTAATGCTGCTCTCCATTATCTAAAGTGCTAACACCAAAAAAATAATCTTTTGCTTAAAGCTCTTTTTGCTTAAAACTTATTTTAGAAAAAGGTACCTTATTTTGTCTTATCCAGCTCAATTGCTGAACAATTTTCTTTTTTGCAAAACAAAGCAATGCAAAAAAAAAAAAAGTTCTAGAAATGGTGTGACACTATGAACAAACTCTGACAGTAAATCTGTTTACTTATAAGGTAGGACCACAAACACTAATAAAAATTAATTATATTTGTATAGTTATAGCATGGTGTCACTAGGCAAAGTAGAGATTAGTCTGGATACCTTAAGTGTCCATTTTCATATTTGAATATGCTTGGATTTCTTTTAGGTTTAACTTTAATTTTTAATTTAGAAGGTTCATACTGCTTTTTTTTAGGATAATTACCATGTGCCTGTAACGTTCTTTGCTCTTACTTTATAGATATGGATTCTCAATTTGTGCCACATTTTAACATAGTTTTTTTTGGCTAGGAATGTATGTAAAGTATTTTATAGGTCACATCTACACATAACAGCAGAGAAAATTTGAAAGCATTCCACCCTGGTACTTAGTGTTCTAATTGATTTTTAAATGCTTCATTTGGTTAACAGTAATAGTCTACTCTATTGAGCATTATTTAAATAGCTGAGTTATTTCCACTGTCACAGAACATATGGCACTGTTTAACTGGAAAAAGCTTTCTGGAGCCCAAGTGGCTTAGTGATAGTGTTCCCTATTATGTGGGAGACTTAAACATGGTGCCAATCCATGCTGAAGTGGGAGGGGAACAGCAAGATGGATCAGCAAGCTCCATTTCTCTTGAGCCATTACTAGGCAGTGAGCCTCCAGCTGTTAAGGTTAAAAAGGAGTACAGTGCTCTTGGCTGGAGGAATAGTGGCAACAATTTGGGAGTATGGGTATGTTTAGACTGCACTCTAAAATCAAAATAAGATAGACAATTTGCACTACGCAAACTGTGTATCTTATTTTGATTTTATTTCAAAATAGGCTATTTCGAAATTTGGCATGTCTATGGGTGTGTCTAGACTACATGCCTCCTTCGACGGAGGCATGTAGATTAGCCAGATCGGCAGAGGGAAATGAAGCCGCGATTAAAATAATCGCGGC